CGTCACAATGACACATCTTACAGTCCGGGAGACCAAGTTTGGGTTTGGACCCCTGTTCATCGCTGTGGCCTCTCTGAAAAGTTGCTCAGCAGATACTTTGTTTCGTGTAAAGTATTACGCCGCGTGATTGACGTAAACAACGAAGTGGTTCCGGACGCTACGTCGTCATGATGGGTAGAACGAAGACAATCGACCTTTAGCATAGTTGACGTGGTGCACATGAAGCCTTATTTTGCGTGTTCCTAAAAGACGACTTTTCCTGTCTTTTTTTATTTGTGCTCTGACAATTGCCTCATCATTGGTGAACTTATCGCGTGTAACATTTGAATAATGGTGCCCTTTTTCATTGTTTAAGCTACTTTGTTTATCGGGACGATGCTCTTTCTTTTTTTGTTGAGGAGGAATATTGCCACCTACTTCTAGCAGTGGGTCGTACGCCAAGGCGAAGGCTCACACCATAAAAAAGAAGGAAGTGCGCGTGGGCCCCGCTCTGGCAAACAAGCCCAACCGACGCGCTTGGTTAGAGCCCTGTAGCTCAGACGTCAATAAACCTTGTCGACACCCCTGGAGCGACGTGAGAATATCTCAGTGTGGGACTATCTCCATATCTCCGCACGACACCCATGCGTTGGTATATTTCGCCAGGTACATCATGTGAAGCTTATGCAGATTTGGGAGTGTATTAGTTTGCAGGTGGCGCCAGTCCCAAGCTTGATGTCTATTGAGGTCCTTGTGGGGAGGTGCCCTGATGCGGCAATCTGATCTTTGTTTCTTCAATATTTCATGCCGTTTTACTTCATCTTTATCCTCTTCAGCAGCGGGTGGTAGTGGGGCTCAGCCACTGAGTACTAGAGCTTGGATATGAATGAGTTCATTGCCATCTTATTGTCATCCTGGCCTGTATGAATAGGACACCAGACTAAACCATGGTCAAAGAGGAGTTTCTTTCCCAGCAGCTTGATGGCCTGCGTTGGTGATATGCCCTTCAGTTACATGCGACAAGCTGTCTGAAAGTCTGAGACCACATAAGCAGAAATACCCAATTGGTCTGCGATTTGAATGGCGAGAGCGATGGCAGTTGCCTTGGCTGATGCGAAGGAACGTTGACAATGCCCTGAAGAAGGCGGAAAATATCGACTGCAAGGATTTGCTCATCGGTAACAAACCATCAGCAAGATCTTTACGTAACAGTGTGAATCTCATTTTAACGCACTTAGTATCAGCTCCAAATATCACCAACATTCTCAAGAAACGCCACAACATCTTCATTCAATGTGACCGCCTAAAAAGACATCTTTGCGGAACCACCTAGGGCGGTTTATCACCGATCGCGAAACCTGAGTGATACCTTGACTTCATGGAAAATAAACAGCTGATCAAACTATGTTGGCTGTAACCCTTGCAATAAACCCCATTGTAAGGTATACCCACACTTGACAACTTTGCACTCCGCAACTATAGCAGTGCTTCAAGCTCTACCATGAGCATCAACAGAAAACTTCACTTTACTCCACAGCGCCAATGTTTTCTACATGCTTGAGTGCTCCCCATGCCACCAGAAATACATCGGTCACACCAAAACGTCCTTCAGGTTGATTGATTGATATGTAGGGTTTAACGTCCAAAACCACCATATGATTATGAGACGCCGTAGTGGAGGGCTCCGGAAATTTCGACCACCTGGGGTTCTTTAACGTGCACCCAAATCTGAGCACACGGGCCTACAACATTTCCACCTCCATAACGTCCTTCAGGTTACGCTTTAATAACCATAGGGTCTACGCTTTTAATGTATACTTCGTCTTCCACTATCAAAACATGTACAGATGCCAGGTCACTCCTTTGCAAACATTAAGGCTACCATACTACAGTCTGGATTTAAAACTCATCTTGGTAGAGAAGTTAGTGAATCCTACCTTATCAATAAATTCAAGAGTCTTCACACTGGCATAAATGAAAGCGTCGGACGTGTCACCTGTCTTTCTAGGTAACAAAGTCTATGTTATTCATACGCTTGCCTCCCCGACCCGTCGCACACACTTTCTTTCATGCACCCTCCTCCCCTCCTTTTTTTCACCGCATATTGCATTAAAATCGCCTGTTCTATTGTTTGTATAGCGAACATGGTAGCTTGTGAAATTTTGTTTGGTGATGTTTCAGTACTTTCATGTGTGCCATGCAGAAATAGTTGGGCACGATATTTGTTTTGCCGCACATTTCGCTTTAATCTCTCGTGTCTCTTTCGCAGCCTAATCATCGTTTTACTGGCTTATATGCTTGACTGATGCGATGGCTTCCTATTCATAAGCACCTTGAGTTGTAGCACTTATCTTGTTACATGAGGTGACAGATGAAACTGTATTGTCCACAATGCTGGTTTTGAAACTTCTGATTTTTTTTGAGATATCAGGGGTCCTTGAAAGCGTCACATGCCTTGTTCACTTTTCATTCTCAGACGAAGGATGTGCCACGCCTGAACCTAAATCGATAAAAAAACTGCTTGCTCTCTCGTTTACTTGTATATCAGCATCTTAAATGTGTGTGTGTGCGTGTGTGTATGTGTGTGCGTGCGTGCGTACGAGCATGCGTGTGTGTGTGTGTGAAAATGCAAGAAAGAAAAATCCAGAAAAGTATTCCGGCGCACAGAATCGAAAGTGGGACCTCTGGGTTGTGAATGCGAAGCATTACAGTTTGCCACCGAGGAGCACGTCCTTCAACATTCAAACAGCAAGCTATTTATATCTACCACTTACCTCTGCTGACGGGACTCTGAGGGGTGGAGTTATTATCATGTTTTCAGCATTACCAGCGAGATGGTGCAATGAGCGGGCGTCGCCACATCGCGGGGCGGCACACACTCAAGTCTTACACCTGTACTTTCCCCCACTTATAGGAGGGGGCCGACGCTCCTTCGCAAGCCCTTATCTCGCGGGGAGGATCGTGCATCTTGGCTAGCCTCAGGCTTTACCTGGAACGATTCTGCTGTAGTTACCGGGCATACAAAGGTCCCTGTAATCATTGTAGTCTCCATTTGTGAAAAGCGTGCGCTTTTCAGACCAAGCAAAGTAATGACTGAGACGTTTATTCGTGTGCATCTGTACTTGTGAGTACGTTTCGCGCGTCATTTGCGCGTGAGAAATGCGGGGCACGCTTGCATCTGCTTTTCATTCCGCGCGTGACCTTCCACTTCGTTGCTATTGCGTTCATTGCTTCGCCTTTGCAGCAAAGCTGTCACATTTTTTCCTGTCTTCGTTCTCGTTGTTCTTGAGCTTGCACTGAAATTTAAGTTTTAAATTACGTTATTTAGTAGGTAAAGTCCCTGGACCTAACGAAACCTTTTGTGAAAACCTTATTGAGCATAGTAAGGAGGTTCTGTCAATCGGTCGTAAAGGCTCCTTCCCAAGAACATGGATGCCAAATAATATAACGCACCACGCGGGCTGGAATTCACAATGATAAATGAATTGTCTGCCAACAAGAAATACAAGCGGTTCTGTAGACAAATGACGCTACATACAAAAAAATCACTCTGTCACAATACAAGTATTAATCATTGGATGATTTGAGCATGGCGCGCTCAGTCCTTACTGGGGCCATTGCTGGATGCCACGAGTTGTCAACGTGTGTGCCAGCGATCAATTTGAAAAACCGCGAATTAAAAAAAAACAGAAAAAAGTGCTCAAGGTAATGAGACGCGCGTGACATATTTTCTGCTCCAGTGCTATCTCTCGCTCCTAAACTCGCAGCGCTTTCAACGGGATGACAGAAGAGAGAATGAAACTGCAGCGTGAGACATATTCTTGTTACTCTGCTCGTACCGGATGGATTCTGGCCCCGCCACGGTGGTCTAGTGGCTAAGGTACTCGGCTGCTGACCCGCAGGCCGCGGGATCGAATCCCGGCTACGGCGGCTGCATTTCCGATGGAGACGGAAATGTTGTAGGCCCGTGTACTCAGATTTGGGTGCATGTTAAAGAATGCCAGGTAGTCTAAATTTCCGGAGCCCTCCACTATGGCGTCTCTCATAATCATATGGTGGTTTGGGGACATTAAACCCCACGAATCAATCAATCAACCGGATGGATTCTGAAAAAATTTGCGGTGGCGAATTCGTGATGCAAAAAGCTTCTTTAGTGAAACCATTTCATTCGTACTTAAACTAGTGTTGCACAGCCCCTTTAGGATGTCAGCTTAAAATGAACACGCCCGAGTAGTACGCAAGATGCACACTGACAAAGTAATGATCATATTGTGAAGGATCGAGGACCAGTTACCATCAACTGCGTTTTTCCTCTATATGCGCCGAAAGTGTGCGACGAACGAGACCCCTAAATATATCGCACGCAGCTGAGCACAATCGACACCAGCTCGATTTAAAATGACCACCTGATTCCACCCAACAGAATTTTGCAACTTTTGAAACAGCGCTGTAGTTGGATATTTTATTAGCCGTTGCCTGCACTGGAGCATTTAAAACAGCGTGTTCAAAACAGCGCCTGTTCAACGTGTTTTCAGTAAAGCCTCTGTGGGTTCATTTAGATTGACTTGAAAGCGAAAGCCATTCTTTGGGGGGGGGGGGGGGGTTGATGCTTTTTAACCCTCCGAGGAGCTTTATGCACTCCACATGGTGCTTGACTGACTTTGTAATCCCATGACGTCTGTTGCGTCCCGTCCAAATAAATATTGCCGATCTCTAATGTCAAGATGACGTTCTCGAATGGTGTCCTGTTAAGTGGTGTTATGCATACCGGTGACCTGTGATGTCATAATGACATCATGTGACGGCTTTACTTGACATACTACGCCGGCATGCCGGCGGCTGTCATTATGTGACTTCTTGTGCCTCTTGTGGGGGCGTTTTCGCGTTTCACGACGTATATTAGGAACTCTCTTTAATGGGCCCTGTTCTCAGTGCAAGGCGAAGCCGGTAATATTTGGCAAAGCGCTTTTCAGGAAGGATGAAACGAATTTAGGGCATCACACTCGGTACAGGAGGCTCACCTGTGGCATCAGCATGCAGCTCCACGTACAGGGGGTTCTTGGCCATCCCGCCACACATGAGGAGACTAGAAACAGAGTGACCCGTGTCGGCCAATGAGTCCATGATGTGGCGCGTTCCGTACTGCAGAGGAGGCAAAATAAGTGATAAGAAAAAAAAAGATGGCTGATGTTGCACTCCTGTGACACTTGTAGGCGAAAGCCTGGCTGCACTAGCATAACACAAACAAGCCGCTACGATCTAGCGAATATATTTTCTACCAAATTGACTCTTTGAAGACTTCATGAGAGCCCTTCTGCTTTTCCATATGTCTTTTGTAAAGATTTGCAGATTCTAGCAAAGTATATCCCCAGCACATTTAAAAGGCAACGCGTGCACCTACCTACATAGCTGCACACTTTGTTTATGCTGTGGCCAATGATGATATGATGATTACGCGTTAGAGTTGAGTCATTTTTCACAAGTGGGAAGCTATAAACTTGTGAAATACACTTTACATAGTGTGAGGCCTGGTGCAATTCTACGCTTCTACCTCACAGTACTATATCTGTTAAAAGACCCCTAAACCATATCGAGTTCAAAGGCAAGCCAGCAGTTTCTTTCTCGCCTTCGCTACCCTTCTCACAAGTGCCATCTTCACCTCGCCACTAGTTTCTTCAGAAGGCACACGGGATGTCAGCACTAAGCGTTGAGCCAGTCAGAATTTCACGCTTTTCTACTTCACGCTGCTAAACGACGAAATCTCAGTGAAATTAGTTTATCGCTCACGGCAGTCTTGCGAGACGAGGCAGGCGTGGGACTACGTGGCAAAACCGGGTTGGCGATCAATCACAGCAGATAACCCTCACAATCAACCAATCGAGACATTACATTCACATCACGTGAAGAGACAACTCACTTCACAAATATTGCCGCAAAGACGGGAAATGCGGGAGCAGAATAACGTGCCTGTTCATATTTTCAGAAGTTGTTTGGGGATTCTTTAATATTGCTTTCCATAAAACATGACACCTGCATGAGATGATATATACCAAAAGCCATTTCCAGCACTGCCGTCACTGGCAGTCACACGTTTTAGCGCCACACAAAATGCCTGGGTTTGATTGAAGTGTCAAACCATGACTTTCAACTGACTTTTACGAAGGTGATGAAGCTTTTTGCACTAAACGTCACATTCTTGAAACCAATGTCCAATAAATAATTTTTTTATGCACAGAGGCCTTCTCCTTGTTACAATTTGGCACTTTCTGAAAGGTAAAAAATGCCAATTACCGACTCTGGACTTATCAAAGAGACTTCGTGAATAAACAAACGAACATTCTAATGAACATACAAGCAAATATAGCCACTGATAGGCCAGTAAAAGTTTAGGTATTGACTGATTACGTTATTATGTTGGCCGAAACTTATTCAATTATCTCTACAGGCTAATTTAAAATACTTTCACAAACAGATGAAGCATAGGCAGGTGTTTTCTTTTTGTGCTTTGGGAACTCAGAAGTATCAAAAAGAATTACAGCTCGAAACTAAGTCGATCAAGTTGCAAATTTCCAATAACAGAAAATTCACATATCCGAGAACAATAACAGCCTCCAAGGCGGACACATAATACTAAGCGGGTTGATAATGGTTTGAGAAGCAGTCTTCAGGTCGTAATAATGTGGATCAGTTGCAGCGCAGTTACAAGAGCAGTCCAAAAAATTTTTTCGAGCCGTGGTCTCCAGATGTACTTTCATTGAGGCCAGTCGGGTCTGCTACTCTTGCTTATAAAAGCATATTAAATGTAATCAATTATACATTGAAAATAATGAAGTGTCTAAAAAATACAGCTTTCGTGAAAAAATCCTTCATATTCCTCAAACCTGCATGAACTATGGCAAACAAATTGAAATTCCCTGTACATACCCGTATACACTATCAACTCATGTTACTTTTAAAGTGAATGTTTTTTTTAGAAAATTGGCAGATCTCACGTACAGTGGGAATCGATGATATGGGAAACACGAATGAGAAATGTTTATACACCACTTAAATCAGCACAACATTACGGGGTGGTAGTAAATGATGCCATACATGACTTCCGTGTCATGATTATCATGCATAGATGTGTCGTTTTCCTTCGTCATCTATTCACGTCACGGGATATCAAATTTAGTATGTATGGAGCTAGCAAAACAGTCGGGAGCACGCTATGAACGTGATTTCTTGTCATGTTCTTACATGACACGCGTGTCAGGATTATCATATTTGCACCCGTCATATATTTTGTCATCCATTGACGTCACGTAACACGAAATTTCATATATGTGGAGCCAGCAAAACAGCCGCGAGCGCAACATGAAGGGCGGAATATACTTCAATGTGACGTTGACGCGCGCGCACGCTGGGCACAGCGACACAACTTTAGCTAAATGCGAGCACCAGGCGTGACCAGCGTCCTTTAACGCGGCCCGACAAGAACTGGCGCGAAAGGCGACATGCTGTATTTCGCGCTGATGCGTTACCCAGACAACACTGCGCCTTCCTGTTTTCATGAAGGAGGGACGCTGGACGCACTGAAATGCGCATGCATCAAAGCAATGCAGCGGGGCGCGCCTGCGAGTATATGGCAGGACCGGTGCCTGGCGTGGCCACGCCGGCATGATGCGACAAAACGAACGCTGGCGAGCATGCGCCCCGCGTCTCCTAGAAATGTCCCAAGTAACCACGGATATCCGTTAGGAATACGTCGGGACGTCCGTCTCGGATATTCCGGACATCCATCAGATATCCGCGGACGTACAATGTACGTCCAATGGACATACTGTGAATGTACAAAGGTAACAAATTTGTACGTTCGCTCGTCATCCGTTTCGGACAGCCGACACGGACATTAAAAGGACCATCAGGGGATATATTATACATATACACAGGTACATATATGTTCATAATAGATATGTATATTGATTTCTTATTCATTGTGCATAAATAATCTACCCCCTAATGGTCCTTTGAATGTCCATGCGGCCTGTCCGAGGCTGATGTTGAGTGAGCACAAATACCTAGCTATATATATATGTGTGTGTGTGTGTGTGTGGTAATATCGAGGGTCCTTGAGGTTTTGTGCACTCTCGCAATTGATGCTTGAACGTCTTTCACAAGAACCCTTTTGCTGCAGATTAAATATCAAAGCGCTAAAATTATTTCTGGTGCAATGCTAAATTAAAACAAGATTCATGGACACAAATAAGGTGACGACTAGGGATCCGGAGTGCCAATTACCAGCTGTTTATTGATGGTATAAGCTAGAAAAAACAATCATGCACAGCGACGTGAAAGAGTACAGCGAACTTTCATGCCACTGTGCATGCTTAGAAGCTTATTTGTTTTCAAGCTTTTACCATCGATAAAACAGAATAACATATGTTTGGCAAACTTAGGCATCAACTTGCCCAGGAACAAGTGCTAAAGCGTAAGAAGATTGGGCTCACACAAGGTCTCAGATGCAATAAAATGTTTATTATCATTAGGTCAAATCATGTACTCTAGTAATAATGAATAAATAAATTAAGCAAACACTAATTAAATCAAGTACGATGTTCAAGTTGAAGTGTGAACACAATGATGAGAATAGAAGCACAGCTCCACACAATTCTAGCAGTGAAGGTAATACAATGAAAGAAGTTAACTGTGATTATTTCATTTTGTAATATCAAAATTAAAACTTACAGGGTCATAAAGACACAAGCTTTGGTACAAAAAAACATGTCAAGAACATTTAGCAAGAAATAAAAAAGGTTTAAGTTAAAAACTGACAAAACCCAGTATGATGCAAAACACCATTCCAATACAATACTGCAGAACAGGCGACAAATATGACTGTTGCAAAAATACAAAAACAAACATGAAATGGGAAATACCAAAAAAATGTATAAGACAAATTCACATCATGGAAAGCACAGGGCTCAATTCCATCACATGCTGAAAATGGATGACACAGTTTTATTGTTTATTAAGTACAATAAACATTAATCATACATAAAACTGTCATTCGCCCAGAAGCATTTTAGAGCTCTACATAGAACAATGCAATGGGACAATTAAGATACCCTTATGACATGGATATCTCTTAAACACTATGAACAGTCCTCACATAGACATCAGTTTTAATTCAAGCACAACCAATACACCTCTTTATCTTTGGAGAATGTGAATGTTTATTGCACAATAGTGGCTGTTTCGTTTCACTGCTAGCACAATATGGTGACCAAATAACTGTCATATTAAAGGGGTAGTGCCACCATTTTTTTTGAAGGACAGTTTACTCTGCCCTACAAATCTCCTGTGTATAGAGATAGCTCGGAGCAAGTGTGAAGTACAGCAAATGCCAAGATAGATTATTTTGGAATTAAAGCCAGAAGGGTGTCTTGAAGGGCCAGTTGATACACGATTTGCATGAGCGCATGACTCAAACTATGTACCTAAGAGACGACAAAAATTTATTGTCTTTCCTGTGCTGAGCAAAGCACCAGGAAATACCCAGCACAAGACAAAAAATTTCCGCCATCCCTTACGCACGCGGTGCGAGCCATGCACTCAAGATCGTTAGCAAAGCAGGCGTAAGGCTTTCTCGGCAGCCTATGCGAAAAAGTAAAGTAACCCCAAAGAGCATGCGTGCATAAAGAAGCACAGGACACAGTACGAGGAATGCATTAACAATGTATTACAATATTCCGTTGTCATGTGGCTACACCTATGCTGGACAGACCAGTCAATGTTTGAACAATCACCTGAATGAGCACCCGTTCAATCTCAAGACTTCAACAAGCAGCACCTTAGCAGCCCATTGTTCCTCGTGCAGCTGCACCCAGCTCTTCCATAATTGAAAGATGCTTTCACGATATCGTAACAAGATCGAGTGCGAAATCAACGAAGCCTTCCATATTAGGAAGAAAGGACACGTGTGTCAGTGAGCCTCCACTTGCCCTCCTCGAAAAAGAGAACATGTTTCTGAGCTGTTAACTTTGGACATTTTGACTCGTGAGAGATTCATCTTGCTTTTCATCTTTATGAGCAAGTTTTGTAGTCCTATTTGTTTTTGCAGCTCTATATTTTCCCGTGTAATAAACACACACACAGTTGTT